AAAAGTTCTTCAAAGAGAACAGTATTTTCTAACCACTTCTTTCTTCCGACAAAATTTTCATCCAGGCCAATATCCAACATTCCTTTGAGGATTTCTTATGTTGTCCCGTGAGAGTCACGATTCCCAGGTTGTCCAATAAGAGGGCAGGGAGATGGGGTTGTGTAGCTCAGTGGTAGAGCACTTGCCTGGCATGTGTGAGGCACTGGGTTCCATCCTCAGCATCACCTAAAAATAAACATATAAAATAAAGAGTATTGTGTTCATCTGCGACTGAAAATATTTGAAAAAAATAAGAGGGGAGCACATGCCTGGGACAAGTTTTGTGGGAGAGAAATAGGAGGGTCAACAGCGACAGGAAGTAGGGCACGATGAGAAGTGAAGGATGACAGTTTGATTCCAAGCTCTGTGAGCAAGTCACGGCTTCGGGAGAATGGTCCTAAGACACCTGTTCTTGTTTTCACCAAGGTCAGTACTTCCTTAAGCTCCTAAATTGTTTTGCACTTCCATCCCAATCCCTGGTCTTTACCGTCTGGATGTGAAATGACCCCAAAGGCCCATGTGTTAAAAGACTCGGTTGCCAGCCCATGGCACGATTGCAAGGTGGTGGAACCTTCAGGAGGCGGGGCCTGCCTGGCTGGAGGAAGTTAGGTCACTGAAGTCGAGCCCTGAGAAGGGGATACTGGGACCCTGGCCACTTTCTCTCTCTCTTTGTCTCCTGGCTACCATGCAGTGAACAGAGCTCCTCTACCACCCACTCTTACCATGATGCACCTTGCTGCCCTAGCCCCAAAGCAACAGGACCAAGAAACTATGAGCCAAAATGAACCTTTCCTCATTATGAATTGTTTATCTCTGCTATTTTGTAACAGTAACAGTAACTAACACACAGATCTCATATATAATTTACATACATTTTTACATCCATTTCTTGTGTGCCTTTTGTTGTTATTCATTGTCACGTTCAATACAAGGTAGTGAAGAGGCTTAGGAAGGAACCAAATAAACTCAAGCTATTAACAAAATTGCTAAACTATCATTCTGTTGCTTTTAGAAGTTCTTAAAAAGGGATTTAATAAGAAGGTCAAAATAATTGATTAAAATTCACTTTATAGTCTCTTTGAAGACGTACTCATCTCTAATTATTTAATTGAGCACATGCTGGGTGAAAGGGTGACAGCTCGTGTGGCAGGATTTTCCATTACCTCCAGCTGGACTACCCAGGAGAATACCTTCAAAAATCTTAAAAAGAATTGTCCATCCAACCGCTCTCTGGATTTTTGCAGAGATGTAGGATTCCCATGCAAGTCTCATCAGCTAGGTGCATTGGTGGTGCATCCAGAAACTTTAGAAAGCTTCTGCTCATGTTGAGTTGATCTAGCTGTCCTTGAATCTCCTCTCTTTGGAACCACTTCTGCCCTCTGCAGTGCAAGAAAAGAAAACTCCACAGCCTCTTCTACGTGGCTGATTCAGGAGAAGTGGTCCCC